CTTCGAATCTCTTCACGCAACACTTCCACTCGAAATGGAAGTAAGCTCAACAAAGAATGTAGTTCGAGTCAGTTTATTGTGGAGGGGGAAAAGCAGAATTATGTGATTCACCCAATTGAGCAGTCAGCACACCCAGTGGGACTCAAACTGTAGGCATGTGTGGCTGACGAGTGAAGCTTCTCGAATTTGGGCGGCACTTGTCTGTCGCCTGGCCACGGGAGGATGATTCAACTCAACCCCTTCATGTCAGAGCCGGTGCATGCAGGCCTCAAACCCGTCAAAGTGCATGTCTGAAACAAGCGAGTTGTGGGTAAATTGGAGAGAAATTGTGTTTCGATGACTCTCCTCATTTCACATTGTTGATGACACTTTTACTTTGTACGAACATGCATGAAGCAGAGATTCGAAGGTTGATCTCACCAAAAGACGACGGCTGAATCCCGTTCTTCTGCAGCCGCTGACGCAGTCCACGAAGCAGCCCTCATCGTTTCGGATGAAAGCGAGCTTCTCTTTCGTCCATTCAACGACGGACCTGGAGCTCATTCCGGTCACTGTTAACCTGAAGGTCGTATTGAAGCCAGGCTGCTGCGCTACAACGCCATTCAGCCGTCGTCTTCTGGTGAGATCAACCTGCGAATCCCTTCTTCATGAACTTTATTATGAAAGGAAAGTCTCTTCAACGATCCGTCGACAATCGAAAGTGTCTCGTCCATCGAATTCGGTGGCGAATTTGGTTCTGGATGAGTCTTAAGTTTGAAGATCGGTCATTGTTGGGCGGAGACGATTGGAGGAGGTGTCAAGGCGTGGACGGGGCTCGAAAGAGGACTTGGACTGGTCTACTTTCTGAGGGGGGAGGGCGGAAGCCAATTCGGAGACCCTTCCAAGGAGGTGGTTCGTGCCAAATGAATAGTCGATCGGCTCCAACTTTGCGAGGGTTTGTTGAAGCCGAGCCCCTCCTCATACACTTTCTTCCATCCGAGACAGCCGAGTTCGAGGCCCGCGGCTGGCTTGCGATCGGATCTCGCTGAACTCGCAACTTGGCGGACAACTGCTTGGCCAAACTTGAGCAAGACTGCTCAGAATGGGCGACACTAAGCTCTAAATGGGGAGGGGGGTTCGATGCAGGCACGACGATTGGGTCATCTGGCCTCGAGAGGTGACGAAAGATGAGATAGTTGCCCACTTTCACTTGGCCAATGAGGAAGCAGCATCAGGTTCAAGAGGGGGATGGAAGAGAATGGGTCCTTGCCCTTTTTGGATGTTGACGAGGGTGTGTTGCGAAGAGATGATTGGTTCTTTTTTCAATTCTCTTTCCAGCCATAGTTACAAAAGCAAGCTTGCAAGTGTGAGAGCAATTATTATTGGAGGCATGAGAGTAGGAGATAGCAACCGTTTGACTAAACAGTCGGAACGGCACAATCCTTTGGGCCTAATTGACGACAATGGCACTTTGGTGAGGAATCCACTTTCAGGCGGAGGCCATTTCGTCAAGCACGGACTGGAGGAGACCTTTTCTCATGTCCTCTTCTTGCCGCCGTGCCTTGTTTCGAGAAGGAGAGGAGAGCCAGTGGGAAAGTGGGCAATTGTGTTGACCCTATTTTGTTGAAGGTGCTGAAGGACGGGTAGTTGATGTTCCACAATGAGCTGAGTAGAGCTGATGTCTTCCGTTCAAGTTCGCAGCCTCGCTTGCTGAAAAAGTGTTCTCCTCCCGACTCGAGTCGACTGCAGTTTCCACCGCGACCAGGTCTTGTCGACACCCTCGGCGGGAGTCGAACCGTGAAACTGCCGCATGTCGGCTCGGCACGTCGGCCACTGGGCCACATTGTCACGAGTCTGCCTCATCGACAATCGCAACGGAGAATGTGAGATGGAAAATGCCCGACATTGCTTGAAGCGGACATGTACCCCGTCACTCAAGGCGACTCGTGGCAATGGGGCGTAGTGTTCCACGTGTCCGGTTTACACGCGGCCCGGTCCTGGTTCGACTCCCGCTGGGGGTGTTGATGCGACCGAGGCGAGGTCGGAACTGCAGTCCACTCCAGCCGGGAGGAGATCACATTTCGGCAAAGCAAGGCCATGTGAAATCGACTGGAAACGTAATCTTTGCCCATATCATTTTTCGAAAATTAACAACCGGACCGTCATCACCTTCAACGAAATCGGGTGAACACAATTCACATGCCTGATTGACTGGTAGTCTCGAAAACCCACTCATTTACGAGAAAAGTGTTTAAGGAACGACTTTCTTCGGTTGTGCCATCTTTTAAAGAGAGAAATGTGACCCATTCTCGAGATCCACTTGCTACACGATTGCGTGTTCCGGTGGTCGACCTTGTGTTGGTGAGACATGCCAACACGTGACAACGCAAAATTGCTTGCAAATGGGGCTTGGTTGAATGGGCCAAAGTGAACGAACACGCAGACCAGAGACTGGACGTGAGATGAAAGGGTTTCAAACGAGGAGGTTTGCCGATTATGGTACGTCTGTGGTTGAAAGAGGGCAAAGAGAGGCTATTGTAATGAGTAGATTAGGGAACACGTTGAATGTAAGGAATGGAGATGAAAAGATGAGTCGGAACTGTTTATGCTTGTTTGATAGATTGAAAGAGAAAGAGAAGACGACTCAACTTGTCTGCTCGCTGATGTTTCTAACTTCACTCACATTCTTTCAACAGTCAGAGATGACCGAACACGCAGATCAGAGATTGGACATGGGATAGAATGGTACCAAAATAGTCGGTTTGCTGATTATGTTACGTCTGTGGTTAAAAGAAAGCAAAGAGAGGATATTGAAATGAGTAGATTAGGGAAGACGTTGAATGTGAGGAATGGTGGTAGAAAGTTGAGTAAGAACTGCTCACGTTTGGTTGCTAGATTGAAGGAGAGAGAGAGAGAGAGAGAGAGAGAGGTCGTAACTTGACTTACATGCTTACAAACTTACATCTTGTTATCGTAACGAGGACTGATCAGCCATGCCTCGTTTGGAGTTATCAAACCTTGTTCGGCTTGCTTCCATTTCGAGTGAGGCTGTTACGTGAACAGACTCGAAGGTGGATTCCGCCAAAAGACGGCGGCGGTTTCCCCTCGACCAGCTGTCGATTGGCTTTACTGGAACCATTTTTGGTAACGCTGTTTCCCTCAATTCCGGTGGAAAGGTGCTAAGCTCTCGTCCGTCGC